TTTAGATTTTTTTTTTTTTTTTAGGTATTCTATCTTTCTTTTTGGCGTCCCCTCCTCTCTATTTCACGGCAAAAAGAATAAAGTAGATTTGAGATTGTACAATTATTATCTTACTAATAACAAACACTTAGAAGTTGTGATAATTAGAAAGGTAGATCTAGTACAGCGGCGAGGTGTTAGGATATAGATTTTAGAAGAATCTAAAGGGAGGAAATCTAATAAGTACTATCTCACCAACCAAACCAAAACTTTCTAGGTGATTGGCTTACGCATTGACAGTTTACATCAATGTATCTGGTACGCAAAAAGGATAGACTTCCAAGAAACACAAATTGGTCACCTAACTTTTTTGCTCTGGTTTGTTGAACACCAAACTATGTTTATTTTCCTCAAATTATATATAGGGATCAGGGACATTATTGCTCCACTCTTTGCCCTTCTTTTTAACAGCTGAAAGTGCCTACAAAGCTACAAGTCTTTGGCGACATTAATCTTGGAATTTGTCCCCAAAAAACTACTGATTTATGTATATATTGACATCGAATATATTTTATACTGTCAGAATAATATAATGACATATAATATAATAACATATAACATGTTATTATTTTATTTTTCAAGTAATTTTTTTTGTTATAATTAATTACTCATTAGTATAGATCGACTTAGCATAATAATGATAAAAATATTATTAGTGTACGAAACTTAAACTCGTTATGCTTTAGAGAGGAAATGTACATGAGGGGACTCACGGGGTTTTTTGGTAGTCCTATTCAGTAGCTAGCGAAACTTTGGAGGGTATCATCCAACTAACTTTCCATGTTTTGAGTTTTTATTTGTACAAAAGAATAATATCTTTATAAATTTAAAAATAATTTAATTAAAAATTTAAAATATTAACTTTAATGATAAATTGTTATGGGATATTCAAGATCATAAGTTTCAAAAGTGTTAAAATCACTGAAATCTTTTGTCATATTTAACGACCACATATTATTTTTAAAATCTTTTCTTTTTTAAATTACTAGTCAAATCAATTAAGATCACGTAAAGAGAAACGGAGGGATTAAAGCTCGTGAAAATATAAAGTGATCGTGCTTTACATTTTCTCTTTCTTGTTCAGAAACTGGCGTCCTAGGAGCCTAAAACCATTGTTAAAAGTATTGTCCTGACGTCTTTGTGGAGATTAATTTTTAAGGGGAATAATGTGCAAAAAGAATTATATAAGGGGCAGGTGGAATAATTAATATTTCTAAAATTTGACTTTCTTTGTTAAAATCTAAAAGATGACGGACATGTTTTCTTTTCTTTTTGACGGACATGTATTTAAAATGACTTTGAGAAGAACAACACATTTTTTTCAACTATGTAAAGAGTCATGACAAGACACGACGTCAAATGTAATTAAGAGCTTATACTTCATGTATAATTTTTCACACATACACCTATGAAGTTGAACCAAATAAATAAATAGAATAGAGCCATTAGCAAATTTCTCCTATATAAATGGCTTAGTTTCTCCAACTCTTGAGAACTCAAAACACAAATACTAAGAACTAACAATGGCAAAAAGCAAGGTTCTTGTTGTAGGTGGCACTGGTTATATTGGCAAGAGGATTGTAAAAGCTAGCTTAGCTCAGGGACATACAACGTATGTCTTGCAGCGGCCGGAGATCGGCCTCGACATCGACAAACTACAGATGTTGTTGTCGTTCAAAGAGCAAGGTGCTCGACTTGTCGAGGCCTCGTTCTCCGACCACCGGAGCCTTGTGGAGGCTGTCAAACAGGTGGATGTTGTTATATGCACAATGTCTGGTGTGCATTTCAGAAGTCATAATATCTTGTTGCAACTCAAGTTGGTTGATGCCATTAAAGAAGCTGGAAATATTAAGGTATATATTGTTCAAATTCTCTTGATGTTAAAGTTCATTCTTCGGTAGAAATTTACATAGATCGTAATCAAATTATACACAGACTGGCACGTAATCCACCAGAAAATTACATTTTTCCATATATCTTCAGTCTCGAGAATCAATCCGTCTCAGAAGACTCGATTAGGCTTATTAATCGAAAATTACGTACCAAAAATTACGTCATAACTGCCATCTGGTTTATAAAGACTTCAAAAAATATTTTGTGATATACTAGTTACGAGTAAATTGTATCTCATATTTAATTTTGTAAAAACAAAGTGTGTGTGTGTCTCTGTGTGTTTGTGTGAGTGTGTGTATCCATATATAGAGAAAGATATATA